AGACAGGTGCAGCTGGTCGTCTCTGATGGGCAAGTCTGCTCACCTGTGACCTCTGCCGTGCTGGGATGGGGGCGGTGAGCCTGTGATTGGAGACTGGCTCAGGGGCCTCTCGGGTCTGCAGTCTCAGCCCACGACTGGAGACATGTCCTTGTCTTTGCTCAACTTCCTCCTCTGTAAAGTGGGCGGTAACAGTAGCTATGCCGACTTTGGCCGTTTTGCTGTGACTACAAAAGTTAACACTGCTAAGTATGTAAAGTGACTCCGGCCTGCAGTAAGCCACACTAAGGATGACGTGAAGCCAGGAGACACTTCCTTCTAGCTGGGGGTGGGGGCGTCCACTTTGTTTCTCTAGATGGCATTTCTGCCCACTCCCAGCCCGCGCATGTCACCGGCTCAGCCTGCGATAATGAAGGAAGTGGGGGCGCACGTGGACACGTCTCCTGCAGACCGGTCTCCCCATCTCTCACGGCACCTGCCTGAGCAGCCGGGTCCTTCCCGATGCGCCAGCGCAGCCGGAGCCCCGCAGACAGAGCTGAACAGGTCTCCGGGAGTCGGGGTCCAAGGGGACCGTGGCCACCTGCGGTGGGCGCTGTAGGCAGAGCACAGGTAGGGGTGTCTGATCTCCAGGCCCAACCCCAGCCCACGGCTGAGCAGCTTAGCGATCGTGGGAGAAGGTGCTTTATACCCTTGTCTGTGGAATGGGAGCAGTAACAGCCTCCCGTTAGGGTGGTGCCGAGGACGAGTGAACGCACAAGGCAGCTGGTCACGAGTGCGGGTCCAGCTAAACGCTGTGGGATCTTGGGCCAGACGGTCAGCCTCTCTGTGCCTCAGAACCCCGCTGTGACCATACACGGGGATGTGTGCCTGTTCTGTAAGGACGGCTGATGAACAGAGATCATCTACGCTGGGTTGGGGGGGTGGTTGCAGGGGGTCAAAGGGGGCAACTTCAGTGATAAAATAAATAAGTCCTGGGCATGTGATGAGCAGCCCGGGGACTACAGTGTATTTGAATGTTGCTGAGATTATGTTGACAGTCCTCACACAAGCACAAGTGTGTACCTGTGCGGTGACCATGGGAACTAGACGCACTGTGTGATCAGCTCGCAGCCTACACAACACCGAATCGGCGCTGTACACCTGCACCGGCGTGTGACAGGACGATTACCCCCAATGAGGAGAGAGAATCTCCGGAAGGTGCTGCCATGTGCCTTAGACCTCAGGGCTTGACTCGGGGCCTTCGAGGGGCCTCAGAGAGGTGATGCCACCAAATAAAGACATCGAAGGTCCCCGGACTTCTACAGTGCCTCCTGAAAAACAACAAAAACACAGCACTTTGCGTTTTGCTATTTACTCTCTGTGTCCCCTAGACCAGGGGTGCTCCCCCTTCCTAATGCCGGACCCTCTAGTACAGCTCCTCGTGTTGTCTGTGGGCGCATCTGCGTGTGGGCGGACCCGCCTGGAGATGGTGGAGGAGCGGGGTCTCGGTTCCTAAGACCATCGGAAATATGTGTTTTCCGATGGTCTTAGGCGACCCCTGTGAAAGGGTCACTCGACCCCCAAAGGGGTTGCGACCCACAGGTTGAGACCACTGCCCTAGACTGTGCATGTCTCTTCAACTCAGAGCCCAGGGCAATCCCTTGTTGCCTGTTGTCCTATGACCAGCCTCCGTGGTGACCGCGAGGACCAGCCGCGGGGCGGGGGGAGCAGGTGTCCCCCGCGCACTGACTGCCACCATTAGTTTGAGTCATTATCACTGTCAGGTGGGGGAAGGGCGCTGGGCTGGACCCTGGCTCTGGGTCACCAGTCGTAAAGCACACGTCATTCGTGCCAAGAACGGGGTAAACATTTGAACCAATAAAAAAAAGGAAAACAGAAAATCTAAGAAAATCTGTGTATCAAGGCAAAAAGGTATGTGAACTCCAGAGCCCTGCGGAAGCCCCTCGCGCTCCCTTTGAACCGGAGGTAGACTGTTCGCCGGGAAACCTGCGAGAACTGTCCCACGGGGCTTGGTATTCGATTTTTAGACTAAATTTCTCTATGTTCGGTTGCCTTTGAGTGCTGAGTTCTGTGATTTCCAAGTGCCAAATGGTAGGTTAGTGTACACACATACAGGCCATGGACACACTGATTTTTTAAACACTTAACAAGCTGACTGTCCCTGACAGAACTGAGGACAAGGTAGTTCTCCTGGGCCCCCCAGAAGACTGGCTTTCATTGTCCTTGTGCTCCAGAGGATGGCCCATACATTTTTTAAGTTTTTAAAAAATATGTTTTTATTGATTTTTTAGAGAGAGAGGAAGGGAGAGAGAGAGAGAAACATCGACGTGAGAGAGAAACATTGATCGGCTGCCTCCTGCACGCCCCCTGCTGGGGATCGAACCCGCAACCCTGGCCTGTGCCCTGAGTGGGATTGAACTGGGGCCTCTCAGTCCCTGGGACGATGCTCAGTCCACTGAGCCACACCGGCTGGGCTGGCCCATGATTTGGATACCTCAGTTTTAAACAATTAAATCATAAGGGCAGAAACGGAGGCTGGCCTCTGTTGGCAGTTCTGCCCGGTGTCTGGGTCCTGTGGGGGTCACCTCGCTGGCCTCCTGGCCCCCGGCCACCTCTGGTGGGAAGTTTCGAGAACAGGGCCCATGTTTTCCCAGAATACTGGCTGATGACTTCCGCGGCACTGGTGTGACATGAGTCTGTGTCCCCCAGAGTCCGTCATAAGGGGACAGGGGACCAGCCAGGGTCAGTGTCTCTGGGAATACAGTGTGAGGTCCTAGAACTCACACATCTTTCTCATGAACTTTCAACAACTTTTAAAACAAACACAACGACCGGATTCCAAGCGGGAATGAGCTCACAGCCCAGGGCCGCCCTCTGGATGCATAGGAAGCACTGAGCTTATCAGGAAACAGTCGCGTCTTGGTGACTGTCACCCGTACCCCTGCCCGGCCAGGGGTCCCGGGGCTGCCCCGGAAAAGGTGTGCTGGCAGGTGCCTGGGGCCCGAACACAGCGCGGCCCCCAGGGAAGGGCGACTCAGCTGAACGGCCCTGTGTCTCCTGCGCTCAGAGGAGTCGCTGCCCAAATACCAGAGTCCGTGCTCGGACGCCCGGCACCGAAAAGTGACCCTCAAGCTCTTTAACCGAGTACGGAGCCGGGACAGTGGTCCCCCACCTTCGGTGTTGACCCCTGGGTTCCGACATCACGGGTGTAACTTGATGCCCGGCTAGAATCTAGGCTACGGGGGCAGATCCCAGGTCCCAGAGCCCGCCCACTCCTGGACAGGGGTCCGAGCTTCCCAGCCCGAGACAGCCCTGCTTTCTTCACGCAACTGCTGCTCACTCGGATCAGTTTCTCAATGGTTAAAACGAGCTGTTTCTTGTGAGGATGAAATGAGACAGACGTTCTCGTGAGCGATCATGCTACATATATTTTAAAGTGCAAACTTTTACATGGTCTATAGTGACAACCCAGATGTGCGTTAGCAAACACATTCCTAAAAACGTGTGGCTTCTACTCTCGCTGAATCGTCCAAATGTGGTGTGTTTTCTCCTCTCTCAAAGCGAAATGCGCCTCTTCTTGAGAGACGAGGAACAAAGCCGCACCTGTTCTGAGACCACAGTGGCCCCACTCAGAGCCCCGCCCACCGCCCCCCCCTCCCTCCCTCCCGTGAGACTGGCACGTCCAGGCTGTCCCCACGCGCCGGGCCGTCCGGAAGGGAGGTTCCAGAGGGTACGAAGCTCGTAGAGAGAGGGGCACAGGGCCCTGCAGGACCCTGAGCCTGTAGACTGCAGTGGGGCCCCTGGGTGAAGACACAGGCACCCAACACGGAGCAGGCACCCAGCGGGGCGTCGACGCTACCGTGTCGGCTGTGAACACCTGGCCGCGTAGGTGCTCTCCGAGACGGGCGGCTGACACCGGACGAGGGGAGCGGCCGGGCGCAAAGAGAAACAAACATGGCCCCCTGGAGCCCCAAACCAGCCAGCACAGCCCACCCCTGCCGTCCCCACAAAGCCAACAGCACCCAGGCTGCAAAGGGGCCAGGGGGGAGGCTGAGCTCCTGCGTCCTGTCTCCCACCTGCCCCAGGGCATCATCCCCAGTTTTCACCTGCAAGGGGTCCCTGCAGCTGTTTCTGCAGCCAAGTCCAGGGCCCCTTTCCCTCCCTCTGCCCACCCCACGGGCGAGGCTAGACCTCGTCCACAGGCGGGGCTGTGTGACTCGAGCTGACACGGATGCTCCCAGGTCCCAGCGGAAGCTTTGCCTGCGCGCCTGCCATGTGCCTGAGGAACCTTACAGGGACTCATGACAGTCCCCGTCATGTTTGTTCTGTCATTAGTCAGGAACCCCAAAAAGGGCCCTGCTAAGACCACCATCTGTCCAAGGAAGCGGACCTGGACCTGGGAATACGTCCGGGTCGGCACACCGTGGGCTGCGTGCGAGCCGACGCTCTCAGGCCGCCTGCCTGTGTCCCATGGTCCTTCCTGATTCCTGTCCTCCAGAGGCCGTGTGAAGGCTGCAAAGGGGTGCGAACACCTCGCCTCCCGCTTGACCTGAAGGAGCCTTTCTGGTCGTTCTGCCAGGAGAGAAGGCAGGTGCGCAGTGGCCAGCAGGTGTCCTTTGCAGCGGAGGCTGACACCGGCCGTCGTGTTGGAGAAAGGTCAGGCTGCTGCCTGCTTAACCCGGCACTCACCTTCCAGCTGATCCTCCCAAAAGGCACGTGAGAGCCCCGCTACACCCGTGTTTGCACCCCGAGGTAAACGCCATCAAAGGCCATGGCGGATTTTCAGAGAAAAGGCAGAAGGGCCGGCCCGTTGTGCGGTGGCCGGCTGAGCCCTCCTCCCCGCTGGCCTGTGTTAGAGAGACGGGGCTGCCGTTCCCGGGGACACGCACATGCGCACAGGAGGGCAGGCAGGCGCCTGGGAGGCAACACGAGGGAAACATCAGAACAGATACAGGTCAGACGGCTCGCAGAGGGGAGATGAAGGAAACAGTACATTGAAAGGATGAAGAAGAAAGTCATGTTTTAATAGGACAGTGAAAAACAGGGCAGCTGTGGTGTGTGATAGCAGAGAAAGAACAAGATCACAGGTGTTTTCGAGGGAAGGGTACCCCGTCCCCCGAAACTGGCCCGTTGGCACGAGCGGTCTCTACACAGACCCCCCGTGTGCCGTGGACGGTTTTCCCTGGAGCTGTCAGAAAGGCTTTGTGACTCTCTGCATGAAATCACGTTGACTCTTTTCCAACGTTGCTGAGACTCGGACTTAAAATAGACATGAGCGAGGTCTCCGGGTCCCTGTCAGCAGCGTGGCTAACTCGGAAGCCAGCTGGGTGACAGCGTGTGACCCGTCCGAGCGCACAGGTAACCTTGTCTGACTCCTCCGGCCCGTCAGAGAGAAATCAGGAGGTGAAGGTGCGCGGTCAGGACTGTGAGGGGCAGTGAGAAGCAGGGGTCAAAAAGCACAGACACGGGAGCCACGTCCGCGAGGCCGCTGGGAACCGGTGACCATCGCGGGCGCTCACCCTCCGGCCCCCCCAGCCCGTTCCTGCCGCCCCGCGCGCAGTAGGGACGGAACCCTGCTCTCCGACCACGTGGACCTCCGTCCGCGGCCCCCCATCTTCCTACCTTCCTCCACTGCGCTGTACCCCACCGCCGGCCTCAGCCCAGGAAAACCAGCGGTGCTTCCGGCAATGGGAGCTGTGCCCGCCTGGCCCCCCGAGCGACCGGGCGATGGGGTCACTGTCTAAGGGCAGTCACCTTTCCCCCCACCTCGTTGGAAGACGTCTCCTGAAATAAGTCCGTCTGTGTCAGACTTCTGACAAGGAACCGCCTACATCCCAGTGTCCAATAATGATCAATACCCTCTCTCTCACCCCCTCGCTGAACTGAGGACTTGCCCACAAGCCCAGGCGCCTTCTCTGCAGGGTCACCCAGGTGGCTGAGGCGGACAGGCCAGAGCTGATCCCTGTCCTCGGTCAATTTCTTATCCCTTCACACTAGCACTAGAGAGCAAACGCTACTTTAAGAAGAAACCTCAGTGAATGCGTGTTGAATGCTCGCGGCCTCGAGCCCCGTGTCCTGGAGCACCGCTGTCCCCTTGCAGAGGGCTGGGCCCTGACATCTCCGAACACTGCTCCTTGCCTGTCTCCTGGCTAACGCATGAACCCTAAGAATCCTGTTTCCTTAATATCATGACACATGCCTATTCTGGGGTGTCCCGGATTTTTTTTAAGTGCACAAAGAAGATAAATATGGTTGAAGTCCACCCGAGTTAGATTTTTGAGTCAGTGACACCATTAGGCTCCTTGGACCCACACTGGGAGGTGACATCTGAAACTAAGTAAGTGGAGGACTCGCTAAGCATTCTCGGGGACTCAAGGAACACGGCAAACAATTCGCTTCAAGCAACGTGGACACCCGGCGTCTGCCACAAGGTTACCCTTCCGCGGTGGTGGGTTTCCACACCTGCACGGACACGCCACTTCTCTTAGCCGAGAACTTGGGCCTTGGAGCCACAGGATACGACGTGGAGGCCGACGACTCTGGCTTTGGAGAGCTGGGGATGCCCGCGGGCACTGGGGAGGCACTGACGGCGGCCGTGGGCTCTGGGAAGAAGACTGGCTGGGGGCTGTAGGCTGGCACCGAGTACACGGATGAGGCCTGCACGCTGGTGGGTGAGCTGGCGTTCACGGCCCTGGGCGGGAGAGCCTGCTTCGTGATGGGCACCGAGTTGACCTTGGCGGGTGACCTTTGGGGGAGGCCCGCCTTTGCATCTGGAGGTTGGAAAGTGAACAAGGATGCATTTAGCTGATACGGTTGGTGCTTCATGACATCCAAGGCGTTGAGGGGTTTCTTGCCCTTTTTCTTGCTGGTCTTGGAGGCCGGTGGGGCTGATGGCTGGGACTTGAGAGCAGCCAGGGGGTAGGAGGGCGAGTGGATGGGGTTGTAGGCCACGGGAGGTGGTGCTCGGACGTTGGAGGAGTACTTCCAACCCGCCGGGAGCGACGGTGTAGGGGACTGGGCCCGGGCGGCGTGGGCCTGCACGGTGTCGGAATCCACCACGTACTTCTCCATCCTCGACTGCCTTTTGGCGAAGAGCTGGGCCCCTTTCCCCTGCATCCCGGGCAGCTCGCTGGGTGGCCCCGCTGAGCCCACGTGCGCTGCGCTGCCGGCTGGCGCTGGGGCCGCTGGCATGGGGGCCGCTGGCATGGGGGCTGCCCCCTTGGCGGTGTTGGCGGTGTAGTTCACACTGGCCACTGCCGCCTGGGGACCTCTGAAGGGACCGGCCAGGTTGAGGGCACTGGTGGGCCGGGCAGCAGGGTAAGACGGCTGCGCTATTTTGATGGATGATGTAATGCTGCCCTGCGAGGGGGTGACGGTGGGGAAGGCAGGAGGGTGGGCTGGAGCCACGCCAGGCGACCAGACCGGAGACACCGGAGTCGCTGGCTGGGAGGAGGAGGACTTGACTGCAGGTTTGGGGGCTACGGGAGGGGGCGTCTTCTGCTTGGCAGAGGGGCCTTGCATGAAATTACAGGCCTCTGCCCCTAAGCTGAGGTAGTCTTCCTCCGGGCCGGAGTCAGCCCCGGCCCCAGGGCCCGGGCGTTTGCCTTCCGAGTTCTGGAGAAGCGACAGGAGCGCGGGGTTGGGGTTCACTTTGGGCTCCTTGAACGTGAACATGGGCTTGGCGGTGCTCCTGCGCTTGGCCTCCTGCAGGATGCCGGTTCTCTTGGCGGGCACAGCGATCCTCTCGTCCCGGGAGGCGATGCGCTCCGGGCACCAGGGCGCCGGCTGCGGCCAGGGCGGGGGCTGCGCGGGGCTGGCCGGGGGGCTGGTCGCTGCGCGGGCCGGGGCCCCCGGGGGCGGCGTGACCGCGGAGTAGGGCGGCGGCACAGGGAACTCCGTCGTGGGGCTCGTCAGGCTGCGGGGTGGGGAGAAGGCGGCTGTCGGCTGGGCCCCGGACCCCGGGAAGGGTCGCGCCGTCCTGTTCATGGGGGCCATCCTGGGGGCCTCTGCTGTGCCGGGCGCAGCCCCGAAGCCATTGTGCTGGGGCGCGTGTCCAGGGCCGTGGCTCACCTCGATGTAGCTCCTGCTCACGGAGCTCTGGCTGGTCACCGTGGCCTCCTCCGCCTGTCGGTAGGAAGTCACTGTCCTCAAGCTGTCCCCGTGCGCGCCGGCCCCCTCCTCCTTCTGCGCAGCGATCTGGTCCATCCTCTCCCTCCTCCTTGCGAACATGAGGGCCCCCTTGCCCGAGGTGTCAGGCAGCATCTCCATCTTGTCCCCTGGGGTCAGTTTCTTCTCAATGTCCCCGAGCCCGGAATCCCAGTCGAAGGTCACGACTTGGGCGCTGTCGTCTGTGTCGGACAGCAGCTCCTCGTCCACGTCCGACTCGCTGGCGCCCAGCAGTGCCGCCTCGCAGGAGCTGTCCCAGTCGCCGTCCTCCGGGTCCCCCGGCTCCTCCTGGTCCTCCTGCCGCCGGAGCTCCCCGGTCCCGTAACTGACCAGCGTGAACTTCTTGGCGCGCCGCCGCCGCTTCTTAAACATCAGCACCCCCCTGGAGTGGGGGCTGGGGGCGGCCGTCAGCAGCAGCGCGATGCTTCTGCATTTGGACTTGGCTTCCTTCACCTGCTTGTCCGACAGGCTCTCGCTCCTCCGCAGCCCTGGGGAAGGACAGAGTCACACTGAGCCAGGAGGGGGAGGCAGCCCCCCCATCCCGCAACGCCCACATCTGCCCGGAGCAGACGCAAGGACCCGTGCCGCCCCCGCGACTCCGTGCTGGGGCCACCCCACCCCCCTGCGCCCCATCTTCACAATCTGCACCCCTACTAGGACATGGGTAACTCAGGCATCGCGCCACCTGCTCACGGAAACACACTCCTGTGTGCTGATGACTGGGCGGATCCTCCCGCCTCAGCGGTCGAGGTGGGGAGTAAATCCCAGCTAACGGATGCGATCAGAACTAAAAAGAGCGCTTAAGAACAGTGTTTTCTGAAAAAGCAAGCTAAGACATACCTTGTATTTCCGGATTTAAAACTAAAATGTCAATATAAAACTGTTCCCAAGCCTTTTTAAAAAGCAGGGGTGGGGGCGAGGGGGGCAAAAATGTTGTTGAGCTTCACGTTTTAATGTAATGACCTGAACTATTCAAGTTTTCTTCCCCCCCCTCCTTTGACTTCCCTCCGAAGTCTTTCCACTCATGGAGACTGAATCAGTATACATTCGGAAACCAAGGGGATACTTGGAAGTACTGAATCATGAGTCACAATAATGCAAACAGTCGATGGTTGCGATACTTTAGCTACAAAGTTATCTAGATAAATTTGTTTGCAATGTGTTGCTATTTTAGAAATATAATATTACTTCAGTTGCAGCAAGAATCAGTGTAAATCTTGGGGAAATGTCAAAGTTACAGGACAGTGATCCTTTTAACTGTGGGTAAGAAATTAATTTCTTAAATAACAATACAGAAATTAAATAATGTAAAATGAGAGCTTGACAGTTTTAAAATAAAATTTAAAAATGTCATCATTGTTATAAAAAAAAGAAATTGGTGTCAAATTAATGTATAGCATCAATTAGTTATAATTATGTCTCCAAGGATCATGATCCAGAAATGAGTTTTAAACTCCTCAACACAGTTGAGTATTTTATGATTGAAAATCAGCTCTTTTTGTACTAAGAGAAAAAAAAAATCAGACTTAATGGTTAATTCAAAAAAGAAACAGACACAGAGTAAGTAGTTTTCTAGCAAAGTTACGGATACTCACTGGAAGCACAGGTCTAGTTGGAGAAAGCAAAGCAGCGAACAGTCTCCGAAACGCACCCTGTGTTATACAACTTACGGTTCAACTGACAGTCGCAGTTGCACACTTGTCGCGGACACCGCTGCCAACATGTGAAGTGTGGGAAGCCGCCTGAGCACGCGTGTTTCAGATCTATAAATGTGAGGACGCCCACGAAGCGTCAAGTATCTGGGGTGATTGACAGCACTTGCCAAGGAAGCTACAGAGGGCTGTGCTAAAAATAGGCTTCCAGAGGAATGACCGCAGGTTAGAGGACCGAGTCTCACTGCTCTGAATAACCAAGTTCCTTGCTGTCATGTATCACTCAGACATCCGAGTGCCTTTCCCCTCCTCGGGTGACAGTCCAAAATGTGTGCAAAAAAGGGAAGAAAATGTCCAAAGCCCTAAAACCTCCCTGCTAGGCTCGCCCTGGTTCTTCTTTCTCCGATCGCTCCCCTGGGTGAAACAGAACGCTGGGAACAGCCTTCAGTTGAAACAGACTGGCCGTGTGGGGACATTTCAGGGCCTCCACGTGGCCCTGGACACGGACCCGGTGTCCAGAGGGAGATGACAAGCCCTGCAGTCTGGGGAAGACTTGCAAAATGGGGCGGATCGTGTAACTGCCCAGGTCCCACATGTCCTTGTCTGTCAACTCGCTCCTGCAGGAATCATCGGGCCGCGCAGTGATGTGTCTCAAAAGGGGAACCTGCTTTCCCTAGGCGCCCCGAGCCTCGGACTCGACCGTTTCTGACATTTAAACCCAGAGCCCACATCCCTCCACACACGTGCTGTCTTGACATGAGCTATGACAACTCTGAGACAGATCAAAAGAGCACCGTTAACAGTATCGTCGTCTCTGGCAGTTCCTGTGCCTTTGGGGGTAAAAGAAAGTGCATTGAAAACACTGACCTCTGCCACAAAGTTCAAACTTCCTGCTTCCAATTCCGAAACGAGCATTGTACCCAATTTCATTTTCTTACTTTGTGCATCTAATCTTTTTTTTTTTTGAAGCCAATGAGAGACAGAAGAAAAAAATACTCTTTAAAAGAAAGCCGTCCCCGCAGGCCGAGCCTCAGGGGAATGCCCGCAGCCCCCCGCCCCCGCGGCCCCGCAGGACTCACGTGCGTGGCGCGCTCTGTGCTTGTGAGGTCTGCTGTGGTCCCTTGTGCAGCGCGGATCGTCCCCCTGCTCGGTGCCTTCTGATGAGACGGCAAAGGCTACCAGAGAAGGAGGTGCTTCTGAACGCCCTCCTTCCACCAGGGAGTCCACACGCCCCGCCTGCAGCCTGCACCCGCCCTGCGGCTTGTCAGAGCAGCCCAGGATCACTTCCACGAGGGGCAGCCCCGCGTCCCCGGCTCCTTGCCCCTGGGTCACTCTCAGCTCTCGGCCGCTGCAGATCTGGATGATCTTGCTAGACCTCAGAGAAGGGTCCCCTTTCTCACTGCCGGGGACTGAATTTACGTGCACAGTCCCGCTGCGGTGTGAGGGAGGATCCGGGTCAGGACGCTTAGGTTCTTCCGCTCCCAGGAGAGCCACCACGGGGGCACCAGCGCTGGGGTGTGCGTCCTGCGACAGGGACAGCTGTAGCTCGACCACAGGGCCTGGCCAGCCTGTGTCTGCCTTGTCCCGGGAGGCAGCCCCCTCTGCCGAGCGTGCTCTCGGGGTGTCCGGTGTGGGGGGGGCCTCAGGGCAGCTCAGGCATGTTTCTTCCTTTTTGCTGCTGGAAGAAGTGGGGCTGCCGTCTCGGCCCTCGGCGAGGGGGGCTACGCGCTGGGTGAGGGCCAGGCAGGGCTCCCCGTCCCGGCTCCGTGTGGCGGCGCGGATCTGCAGGGTGGTGCTGCTCACGCACCCCTCGGTGGGGAGACGCTCGTGGGTTTTGTTTTCAGTTTCAGAGACCGAAGTCTCACTGATGCCACGGGACGGTCTGCACACAGAAAACCATCAGAGGGTTAAGTCAGAGGGCCCACACCTGCCAAAGCACCCCGCACGCCCACGACGTCTAGCACACGTCCCCGTGTCGCCTCCTGAAAGCCAGCTGCGGCACATGTGGAAACTGAAACTGGCAACACACTGACCCGATGACTTAAACATTTTTCAAATACTTCTTTGCTTTTATAGTCAAGCAGCACGGCTGACGAGAGATTCTAAAACCCAAAGCCATCCTAAACGTAACTTCTATTTTTTTTTTTTAAAGGGACAGGTGAATGCTACATGGATGCTCTTCCGCGAAAACGACTCGGCTGTTCTCAAAACACTGTGTTTGTCATCGTGGGAGAAAGCGTGTCTGGGTCTCACTGACCAAGGTTAGGTCTGGGCACTGTGGAGCCGCAAAGGCACCCAGAGATCAGAGCCATATTCTCGGACAGGTCCCGCAGGGAACCCTTCCGGGGGCTCCCTTCCCCGGACGGAAGGAAACCAGGCTGAGCTCCCGGGGCGGCACTTTGTAACCCGTAGACCCCAGCCCAGCGCTCTGGGTAGAGAGAACGCCTTCCGTGCGGCAAAGGGACACGGAGTCATGGAGCATTTATATTCTGAGACATCTCCCCGGCCCCACGTGAGCCTGTCTCTGGGAGCAATTTCCTTTTAGGACCTCTGGAGTCAAGCCGGTCCCGTCTCTCCACGGAGGAGCCCAGGTCTTCTTCGATTCTGACCCTCAAATCTGGGTGCACCCAAAGCAGTGTCGACGTAAGGGTTAAACAGCGTCTAGCTCCGACTCTCATCTTACACGCTGACGGCTGTGGGCAGAGACGTGTCGTCCACGGAACAGCTGTGGGAGACGCCTTCCTTTCTGGCACTTGTAAGGGGGTTTTGTTGTTTTTTTAAGAAGCAGCTGTGTCCTCTGCCCCCCTTCCTCCCTCAAAATGCACCCTGACTAATGCAGGATCATTAGCCGAAGGAGGCAAGCCCCCTTCTTGTCCACGCAGGGGAATCTACCTTAGAATTTTTGTGGCCGTACCATGTCATACTATTATAATGACTCCTACCTTTGAGTCTGACTACATTTAGCAAAACGAAACAATAAAAACCATGCACGAAATGCCGCCTTCTCTAAGCGTGTACGTCATCTACGAAGCTTCCCGGTAATACACAACAACTGTGATAGTATTTTAAAATCACGCGGACAGGTAATTAGGTCTTTCCTGGGCAGGAGATGATGAGGACCTCGGGTGCCACTGCGTTTGAGGGCGCAGAGGGCAGAGAGGTTCTGCAGCAAGGCCCCGGGGGGACTGGGTGCCGTCACTTGGCATCGTGTCGGCGGTCACTCAGGAAGCAGGGTGAGGGTGTGAACTCACCCCGGCCTCGGAGGCGGTCAGCGTGAACTCTTACCGGTGGCCGGAGTAGGAGGGATGCGCGTGAACACAATCATCCACGCACCAGAGGTTGGAGCTGTACGCCCGAAAGCGCTCACTTCCAGTCCGCCTCGTGGGTGCACCGTCCCACAGTTCCTGGGCCAGGCAGGGAAGCCGAACCTGACACCCCAAAACGCACCTCTCCGGCAGGAGGGTGGCTTTATTTTTAAGAAACAAAAGACTCAGGAAGAACCTGTGACCTCCCCCCCCCCCACTGCCTGGAAGAACGGAGACCCAGTGCCTGTTCCGGAATTGAGCCGTCACCCGATGTCCACAGGGAACACGGGCAGGTGTGGGGGAGCTGAAGGAGCCCAGGGGTCAGACTCCTCTGTCCCATTGTCTCCTGCGGCCCGGCCAACATTTGTTTACCAAACACTTCCTCCTTCCTCCCCTCTGAAGGCCCCAGCACCACCCTACCTCAGCTGAAGATGCCACTCCAGCCCAGCGCGCCCGGGGCCTTGGTCGTAATGAACCCCTGTCCATACAAACATAATTACATTTGGTGATTCTCTCCTGCTGATCAGTCTCGTGTCAATTTAATTCTGAGACCAGCCAGAAGAACCCAGAAGGGCAGAGTAAAATTTCCTTCTCCCCAATACATAATTATCCAATTAAGAAAAATCTTATTTTAATACAATTTAAGATAATAGAGGCTTGATGGTGAAGACGTATTTTAAGAGAACCTGACCCAGCTACCTCCGGGCCACGGTCCAGGGAAGGGAGCCAGCTGCCCTCGAGTGACAGAGGACATTCATGTGAGTGGGAGAACAATTTACATCCAGGAGATGTGTTCAGGGGCCATGGTGGTGCCGGTGCCGGTACCGGTGCCGACACAAGGACTGCCTTTCGGGGCGCATTCATGTGAGGTCTGTTTCCAACATCACCGATTATTTATTCAGTCACGTCAAAGTACTTAAGAGAGAACAATGATCACGATTCCATTTGCTAAAAGTAGCAGAGAATAATACAGTTGTTTCTGACAGTAAATATGTAGCCAAGACTCAGCTTTAAACCACCCAGGGTTTTCCCCGCTGGTCTAAACAGGACCTAGTAGGGAATGTCCCAGGCCACGTGTTCCAAAGAAACCGGCCTCATGAACTCAGTACAGGCACTAAAAAAGGAAACAGACTGAGCCGGCATTTCCCCCGCGTGGGGTGTGGTTAAACCGCCACGAAGATGGAAGTATTCTCGGAGCTCGGATGTATGCAGGGTCGTGGCTCACACGGTGACCACACGCGACCTCCCTGCTGGGCTCCTTTCTAAAGCACATGGCCACTTTACAAATAACTAGGCCCCGCAGGGCTTGCCCACGGGCTTGATGAGTGGCTCCGCACGTGGGAGGGGTCAGAATAATGCGAGAGTTCTTGTATTTGCACCAGGTTTGGGCCGTAGCGAGTCCGTGTCGGTGGAGAAATGGAGTCATACTGAAGGACCATCAGAGGGATGATGCTGTGTCAGGTCTCTGAAGAGGTTTCCCCACACCCCCAGGAAGCCTTCCTCTGTGGAGTCATTAACATGCCACGTCGGGGTCTCACTGCAAAGCCGCGTGGGCTGGGCTGCTTTCGCACACCACGGAAATGTAGATGCTACAGGTTTTGTTCTTACCTGTGCTAGCCTTGCCTCATTATTTCCCTCTGTGTTTATGTTCAACGTTGCTTCTGCGTTTTTAAGGAATCAGTGGGGAGGGTGGATTTGGGGAGATCGAATTAACAAGTGATGTCCGGCCGGGGTGGCTCAGTGGTTGAGTGTGGACCCCTGCACCAAGAGGTCGCCAGTTCGATTCCCGGTCAGGGCACATGCCCAGGTTGTGGGCCTGATCCCCAGTGGGGGGCGTGCAGGAGGCGGCCAGTCGATGTTCTCTCTCATCGATGTTTCTGTCTCTCCCTCTCCCTTCCTCTCTCTCTAAAAAACAAATCAATAAAGGAAAAAAAATTAACAAGTGATTTGCATTGGTAGTTCAAAACCTTTATTCTAACCACCCAAATATTGGTTTCGCTGGAGGGTCTGGCAAGCAGGGGTCTGGCTACTTTTAAGGTTTTTCGTTACTGTTCTCCTTGTCCTGGGCATGTTTGTTCTTTAAGAAAATGTAGTGTACAGTGTCATGGTTTGGTATTTAAATGTTTCTCATTCATCTGGGAATCTGGGAATTATAAGTTAGTGATCCTGGCCAACCACAAAACCTTAACCTGGAGGGATTCAATTCTGTTCAACATACCGAGCTATCTAAGGCATTAGTTTTAATTAGCTGAGATTTTCAGCAAAGCTCCTGAAACAAAGATTTTCAAAGTAATTTTCAATCAACCAGAAAATTCAGCGGATTAAAATCAGCACTTTTCAAACACAGTGGTTTCTCTGTTTAGCTCTCCTGCCCTCCCACAGGGCACCTGGATTCCCCATCAATGACGAGCCGTGTGTGTAACAAGAGTCATAGCCGCTCCCATCCAGCTGCAAGGGCACACCGATATTCCAGCCCCCGTTCTTACCGCCTGATGAGCATGTGAAGAGAGTCCGAGATGCTTTCCATGAGCTTGATGACCTGCGGGTAGGTGAGGTCCGCACACGGGTTGCCGTTGATGGAGACCACTTCATCCCCTTCACAGAGCCCGGACCCGGACGCTTTGCTCTGGCTCCGGATCTGAGAGGATCAAAGAAGGAGCAGCAGTAAGAATCGTGCCCCTTGTAAAGACCACGCCACCGTCTCCGAGGAACGTGTACGGGGCAGGTACGTGGACTGTGAGTCGTACAGTCAGCCCAGACTTCATGTTTACCTGTTAACCCGTAAGACCATCTTACACATGCCCCGCCCCACACACACGTGGCAGGTACCGTGATGTCCACTTTAACTCCTGTGACTGTCAACAAACACAAGAGGAGAGGACATCAATACTAGAGAAACGAGAATGCAAGAGACAGGTAGGGAAGAACGGAAGACGTTTTTAGATCCAGTCCACGTGGAAAAGAATCACGCCACGTGGTGAAGTCCGACTCCCACCAGTGACCTCGCCCATTCACGTGCATTTGACGAGCCTGTCGCACTGCGAAGGGGGCGGACGTCGGAGGGAGATGCCGGCGGCGGTCTGTTTCAGGAGACGGAGGTGCAGGTAAACACACTCAATTATGTTCAACATGCCCAGCGTGGCGGGAAATCGGACAGCCAGGGTACTGAGAAGGATGTCCGAGGAAGAAGTCCTTTTGAAACCAAGTATTCAAGACTTAGCACTAGGCAAACTTCGGCCAAAAAAAAAGATAGAGAAAAGATTGTGCACGAAACAAGAACAGCAGCCGCGTCATCTAGGCCAGAAGGATGCGGAACAGCCGGAGCAAAGACCGAGGCGAGGACGGTCACCCCCGGAGAAGAGAAACGCAGGGACACCAGCCTGCGAGGGCTCCCACGGACTCTCCGTGAGGGGGGCCTGGCGGTGAGGTCCCTAGGATCACGGAGTGTTGGCTGGTCACTGTCCCTCTGCCTACAGCCCATCTCCACCCTCCAGTGTGGCTTCGTGGCCGGGTGCCCTTCACATTGGCCCCGGCTGGGTCTGGTCAGCGGGACCGCCACGTAGAGATGGGAGAACGAGGCAACCGGTGCCAGGCAGGAGTTCCCCCAATTTCAAGAACACTTGGGGGTGCTATTCTGGGTATTTTCCACCGAGGTGACCCCCCTCTGACGATTCAAGTCACGATTCTGAGTCCAGAGCGGCCCCACCGGGGCGCAGACTTCCCGAAGGACGCCCTGGAGGCCGGCGGTTCTCACTGGGCAGGAAATAGTCTCCGGGTGCCCGTCACAGCCCCCCACGGACCCCTGCTGCGGTCTGCAAGGGTACTGTGTTCACCGATAAGGATCTAAAGTTCATATCTCCACGGGCATTTGCATTTGGAAGGATACTCTTGAAAGCAAAAGAAAACCTTTAACTTCTAGAGCAGTAACGCTGCTGAAATCCAAAGTCATTCAGTTTTGTTCTGGGAGGCTCCTCCTTTTTTTTTTTAATATGTTTTTATTGATTATTATTTTTTTTTGAGAGAGAGAGGAAGAGAGAGAGAAACATCGATGTGAGGGAGATACATTGATCTCGACTGCCTCCTGCATGCCCCCCATTGGGGATCGGGCCCACAACCTGAGCATGTGCCCTGATCGGGAACCGAACCTGCGACCTATCGGTGCAGGGTTGATGCTCAGCCACTGAGCCACCCCGGCCGGGCAGGCTCCGTCCTTCTATCGCATATTCAGATCTGTGGAAGGTCTTCTTCTTTTCCGACAAATCAACCTCATTCCTTTTATTTTGGAAGAATATACTAATTTACTGCAAAAATTAAATGAACTTCCTATTTCAAAGGTGATAAAGAAGCAACGAGCGCCAAGAGAGAGGATTGGCCCAATTTCGGGGAAAAAGGCCTATTTCACAGCCACATATACTTGTTCCCTTCTGTCCAGCCTGAGGGACGGACATACAGACTCCGAGAGAGCTCCCAATACGTCGAGGAGGAAAAATGCCCAACAACGAACTCTTCAGTTAGGTTAGAGTTTTGGGGGGCACGTCTTCCATTTCAATGTGTGTTTAACTATTCTTAAAGGACTGGACAATACTCAATATTGTGACCCAGTGTGTTACAATTTCAAAGTCGAGTGTCTTTTGCAGACTGTGATTCAGTACGACACATCTGTGGGAACAGGCTGTGTGACTCCTGTCGTCTGGGGCACCCTCAGGGACCCCCCACCCCGCACACACTGCCGAGTCTCTCCCCACACAAGGCCGTATCCCCGCAGGGCCTCAGCGGAACCGCCACGTGGCTGAGCGGGACGGGGTATGTGAAATTTACCAACACTACGCTCCATGGCTTACAGCTCCGGGCCCCCCGGGAAAGGCTCCCTTTAGCGCAACCAAGGACAAATGGCACGTTAAGGCTCCTCTGCAAAATTGAGCATTATTTCCACGTTATTTCCACGTCATTGAATGAATCTGAGAGTGTGTCAGCTACGCTCAGTTTTATGAATAAATAATTCCCTGGCAAAATGAAGAAGTCCCTTCTCTTTCACTGTCGCTTCATGCCCACATCTCTCAGAGCCAGCTGGGCGGGGGGACCGGTCTGCGTGCCCCCAGAAGCCTGGGGTGGGGCCGGTTGGGGTGGGTCTCCCCCACGTCCACAGTGTCCGCTTCCTGGTGGGGACACTGCCCTCGTCTCATGTGCGAGTTGTTGACAAGTCCTCTTGGAAGGTGTCAGTGGTAGAACCAAGACCTTCTCCTGAAATACCATGATGACGTCTATGAACAGACACGAGGAGGAGAAAACAGGTACGCATCTGGCCTATTGCAGGCTGGGAGGGCTCGTGGTGACCCTTGACTGCAGCCTGGGGACCCGGGGATGATGAAGGAGGGGTGAGGGACGACCGCAGAGCACAGGCTGCGGTCGGGGACGAAGATTCCGGTGGACCTTGGGGAGCAGTCTGTGAGCCACGCGCTCTTCTGGAAGCCCCAGCCCCCCACGTCTGCAAGGCAGGCCTTGGGCAAAACTCGCCCTGCACCTGAGACAGGATTTAATCAGCATCCCTTTGGCACAGCTGGCCCTTAGCCCGAAGCCCTGGGAAGGTCTGTGCTCCTCAGCTGACCGACAAAGGGTCACCAAGGTCACCAGGAGGCGCAGCAGGGCGATGACCACACAGCTCGTTATAGAAACGGTAAACACCCCTTTGACAGGCTCGCCCCCAGACCCTGAGGGGGTGAGGGGTCCCCCCACTGAAGCTGGGTCTACAGCAGTTGGGGACTCATGCTCACAGGGGTGCAACGCGTTGGGAAATCAACGGCAGAGAGCAGGGGACAGTTTCGGGGTGACGAGAACCAGCACGCAAGGGGCTAAAAGCAAGAACGACCCGGAAGCGCTACGCATCCGGGAGCTGAGTGCGGAGATCCAAACAGGACACGGAGACGGAAGAGTCGCGGGAATAAAGAATGAGGGGACGTAAACAAGAAATCTAACTGGTAACTGAGCCGGGTCAGAACAGAGGACGGAGGCAGAGCCGACAGGTTGCTCAGCTTCCGTTCCAAGCTCCATCCAGGTGCCGGGGTGTCGCCGTGGCGAGGAGACAGAGTGCGTGTCCCCGACGCCCCTTCTGGGGGCCCCGGTGAGGCCCAGCGTAGCAGGTGTGGCTCCGAGACCTCCGTTTGGCACTGAGTGACGCTCGGAGAGGCTGGGCACCCAGAGGCTCGGTGTTGCTGGTGCAGACCTGGGAGACAGTTCACTCTGGACACGGAAGGGTCACTGGCAGGGTCTCAATCCCAGGTCAAGGCTAAGGTGTGAAACCTGAGCCCGGCGCTGGCCCAGAGCTCCCCGACCGTGGCAGATGGTGCCAGTCCCTTGGGTAGCCTGTGGCCAGTGCCTTTGAAGCCATTCCCGGAGGCTCTGCCCGAGCTGCCTTGCAGACCTCTGCCCAGTCCTTCCCGACCCGGAGGACTCGAGGTCTCTGTCCCGCAGCGCGCCCAGCCTGGTCCGCACAGCAGAGCCACCAGCACACACGGAGGGAAGGGGGAGGCGACCATGTCTTTGGTCCAGAACAGAAGAGAAATGTGCGGGCGATGGGACGGGCAACGTGGGAACTGCCCCCAGGCAGAGGGGACGAGGTCACCATCTCCAGGGAGAAGGAGGGGCCAAGGGAGAGGACCCTGGAGGATGAGGAAGGATGTCCAGGGTCCAAGGATGTCCAGGGATGATAGCAAACAAACCAGGCAACCAGAGGAGAAGAATCAACACTCAGCGAGGAACCCGCCGGGGGTGACGTGAGGGGGACGCGAGGGCCCTGTCACAGGCTCAGCTGTTCAGGAGAGCAGCTGATTCCAGGGAGCGAGGTGTTTCTCCCCAGAAGCACTGGTAAGTGCAGGGAGGACTGAACAAGAGTGTGATCACACAATCGTGTGCCCGGACGGTGCAAACCACCCTCCAGTGGGATGTTCCAGCCGGGAGACCGTGCCCACGGAGGCAGCCTCCGACCTCTCGGGTGTTCTGCCCTCAGACCTCAGTCCCAGCTCCGTAGGCTGCTGGCGGTGTTTCAGGCTGGAGACGGGACAGTCCAGCCCTGGGCGGACGGTGACGGATCGCAGACCCCGGGCAGAACGCTTCCTTCTGAGGGACTGTCTGGAGCCTTGGGACCTCGTCTCCATAAAAGTAGAAAGCATCCCTGGCAGCAGCCTCGGACAGATTCCCAGCGGCCTCGGCAGGAGCGGGCCCTTGGCGGCGCACCCTCGGGAATGTGCGAGCCGCCGGGTCCCGCAGGCAGGAGCCGAGCCGCTGTCCCTGCCGTGACCTGCTCCAGGCAGCGTCGTGATGCCGAGCAGCCAGTACAGATATGGAATGGTATTCTCCCGCCTGCCTCCCGGAATGTGGACGGCCAGCTCCTTCTGCGGAACGCGGAGGGGCCCCGCGGGGCGTGGACGGCCCGCGCTGTCGGCCGGACGCTGACGGATCGCAGGAGGCTCCAGAACACAAAACATACCTTTAAAAGAAATTAAAAACACATGTGGAAGCCGAAGGAGGAGACAAGTAGTCGGTGTGATCAGGGTTACTCAGAAGAGAGAGAAGAATGCGAGCCCTCTCTTGGGGTCTCCCCAGCCTCTGTGCGTGTTTGTGACGACACACACGACCTCCTCG